TGTGTGTGTGTGTGTGTGTGTGTGTGTGTGTGTGTGTGTGTGTGGTTTTTAGTTTTTTGAGACAGAGTCTTGCTATGAAGCCTAGGCTGGCCTGAGGCTTCAGATCCTCCTGTCTTGGGCTCCTCAGTGTTAGGATTACAACCATGCACCATGAAACTCTATTTTTCAAAATTGTACTATAATAGCAATAGTTTTTTTTCTTCAATTTTCCAAACATGAAAGCTGTTAGGTTTTGGAGTGCAGAATACAAGAACAATAGGAGAGAAAGAAGGAGACCATACCTAACCTCAGAGAAGGCAGAGTTTATTGAGTTTATTCAGTTTATTCAAAAGCAGCTTGTGACAACTGCTTTCCTGCATGCTGGAAGCAACTGCTGTCCTGGGGGAGGGGCCATGAGGACCTATATAGGATATAGCTATGGCTATGTGAGGATCAGGAGAACTCTTGAGAAGTTTACGGCCCCCTTACGGTCCCCTTCTTCAGTGCTTGCCTGGCATGCAGGAAGTCTCTATGAAACAGCCTGACTAATATAGATAGGGACAGGTGAGCTAGGTTTTTTTCTGAGAATTCTAAGCTTTCACATCAAATGGTGGCATTCAAACATGACACTTGATGTGGCTGTCACATGCAGGCCTGATCAGACCCTTGGGGTCTAGGGCAGGCAGCTCTACTTGCTAATGGTTGGGACTGTTCCTTAGTGTCTTCAGATGTAAAGTGAGGTTATTTATGGCATTCAATGAGCTTCTAGAAACTAAAGACTCAGAACAAAGCTGGGGTCATAGTTCAGTTAAGCCAGGTGATGATGAGGAGGAGGACTAGGAAGAGGAGGAGGAGAGGATGATATAACCCGGCCTGAGGATAAAGTTGATAAGAAAATGGACTCAAGAACCCTTATGAGCGAGCGCTCAAGCCTTTGGCTTAAACTGAGAAAGTAGCGCAGCATGCATCCTTCCTCTGGACTTTTCAGTGACATATACTGAGAAAGTCCTTTAATGATTTAGACCTATTTGGGTTGAGCTGTGGTTATTTCCACTGAGAGTACTGTCTTACATAACAGTGAGTGGTTTCTTTTTTCAGAACTAGAAGCACAAAAGGGTTGACTATACCCCCTTTCCCAGAAAAATGGAGCTACCTCCCCTCTCCCCTGAGGTTGCCAGTCTTCGGTAGCTCCAGGAACCTTGTTTTTACCATCAGCAAGGAACTTCCTTCAATACCATAAAGGAAATTTATCCTTCTATGGCAGCCATCCAAATGATTTCTGTGTAGTTGTGAACACACATTTCACTGAAAAGGAAACAGGAATGACCTGTAAACAATGAATAGATGATTTATTCCAGGGAAATACAATCATAAACACAGACATTTTAACTCATTAGGTGATAATGTAAAATTCTTAAAAACTCTAAGTGTTCATAGTTGTGGAGTCAAGGGGTCTCCTATGTACCACTGATGAGCACATAAACAATGTTCTGCAAACAGTTCACAAAACAATGTATAAAAACTGTGTCAACAGACTCAGAAAAACAAACAACATATGTTCTCCCTCATATGTGTATCCTAGCACCAAATCCTTTTAAATTCCAGGTCCTTTTAATAAGATGATGCTATACAGCAGTCCCTTCTGCATGAAATAACTGCCATCATCATGACTTCAGCTGAGCCTGTTCGCTAAACATCCTCACAACTGGACTTGTTGACAAGTTGTGTTCATTCATCAAAGGAGGGCCAAGTAGGGTCATTGGACCTCACTGCATTATCCAGCCACTCTTTCCAGCCAACTGAATGTAATTTGACCCTAATCACATATGGCCTCCTGGTTTTGGGGAGGGCTAAAGTATACAATCTGGGGAAGGCTAGGAAGAGAAGGCATGACCCATGCTGGGTAAAGGCTTTCCAGTGTGCATACCCTCAGGTCATACATACACCTCAGCAACCCCTCAGTTATCTTGATAAGTAAGCTCAATAAATTCATTGGTTCCCCAGTAAAACTTTAAGCAAACATTGGCTTGACACTAGAACCTTGAAAGGGAATAAGCATTGCTTAGCATCGCCAGGATGCTGTCTCACAACTGATGGAAAATTTGTTAATGCTATTATGTCTCATAATTATTATTTTTTTGTTTTTTTTGTTGGTTTTTTTGTTATTTTATTTTAAGATCG